CACCACCACGCCAAGTTTGACCATTTTTCTACTTTCAAGTTTGACTTGTTTGGTGCTCATTACATGTTTTACTCAACTTCTCACATATTTAGTTATGTGATACTTACAAAGTAATACGGACGATATAGAAACACCTCTGCAAATGAATTCATCAGTGCAGTGTCGCGATCAGTGACTATTACTTGCAACATGTTATTTTGGTCTTTCAACATAGTCTTTCACATTTCCAAAGCTCGCATAACATTGTCCTCTTTTTGGATTCCAAAAAGCAAAACCGACTGAATATGTCATCTTTGTAAAAGTAACATCAACAATTTCTAGGAATGGAAGACTATATTTGTTTTATTTTGTATGCTAAGTCAATTACGAGCACAGTGAGAAATGTGTTGAACAACTTGATGGAATTAGGATGACTTCAAAATATATCTTGGCCAGTGATTTTATCCTAAAAGAATCTATACCTAGAAACAAATGTGTCCTCTTCCAAAAGTTGCCGCCGTCGTTGCATCTCAAATCTTAATCCTCTTACGAACTTATTATTTCAAGCATGCACGTTGTATATTTTCTTGAAATTTGAAATATTTAGAGGTATTTTCTGTTTCAAAGATGTGAGTGTATTTTTTGGCGCCACCATGTTTAATGTCATGTCCGAAATAAGTTTCTTCTCCTCTGAAAACAAGTCAACATACAATGGGAGAACCAACTAGCTTTTCAGTCATGACATGATTATGTATGCTTGAAATCACATTAAATTTACATGTTTCATCCACATACATTATCCACATAATTTAAATGGATACTCATATTTTCTCAATCCTATGTCATCTAGTTTCAACTTCCCAATCAGTGGTAGGTATGTGTCAATTCTTTCGCATCTCATTTCTCCACAAGTCTTGCCTTGTGTTGAGTTACTTATACTTTGGGATTCAACTTCACCTTGTATACCTACTTCACATCAATTTCTTTCTTGTCTTGAGGCAATTTGAGAAGTGACCAAATTTTATTGACTTTGATGAACTTCAGTTCCTCATTCATTGTTTTCACCCACTTTGAATCCTTCAATGCCTCAGGTTCATTGACTAGTTCGACATCTTCATAGAAATCATAGGGTATCAGCTCACCTTCATCATCGACCATATTATATTATGTAATCACACATTCTTGCAACCTTGCAAGCATGTGTCTTGTACTTTGAGGTCTGCTTGTGATTGCTTGACCTCTGATTTCTTCATGTTGAACTTCTCTTTCGACTTCACTTGATAGTTCTTCACATAAGATTCTCACTAAATCTTTCTTAAAATTTTCAGTCCAATCCCACTCCTTAAGCTCATTTATGATCACGTAATTGTTGATTACTACTTGCTTGTTCACTAGGCCGAATAACTTGTAACCTTCTGTCGAATGATATCCTATTAGGATCATCTGACTCGACTTGTCATAATTTTTTCTTCTCAACTGATTTGGCACATGTCTATATGATATAGATCCAAATACCTTCATATGACTTAAGTTAGACTTGACACCAGACCAACATTCTTCTGGCGTGATTCCTTATAGCCTTTTTGTCGGGCATCTAATCAAAATATATGTTGCAATCGACATAATTTCTCCCCATAATTCTTTACGTAGCTTTTTGCCTTTCAACATACTTCTCACCATATTCATGATCGTTTTATTCTTCCTTTTTACAGTTCTATTCTGCTGTGGAGTGTAGGGCGGCACCACCTCATGCACAATTCCTTTTTTTCACATAATGTGACAAAGTCTTTCGATACATATTCTCCACCACCAGTCCTCATAATCTTGAGCTTTCAATCACTTTGTCTTTCAACCATAGATTTAAACTTGGAAAATACCTCGAGCACTTCACTTTTCTTCTTGATCAGGTAAGTCCACCGTTTTTGACTAAAATCATCTATGAATGTGAAAAAGTATCTGCTACCTATAATTGAATCCACCTGGATAGGTCCACACATATCAGAGTATAAAACTTCAAGAACTGTCTTCGACATGCTTCCTGCATCCTTGCTAAAGTTGTTCTTTTGTTGCTTTGCTTGCACACATTCTTCACACACTTCATTTGGAATGTCAATTTCAGGTAACCCTAAAACCATATTTCTTATCTTTAGATCGTTGATGTCTTTGAAGTTTAGATGACCAAGTCTATAGTGCCATATCCATGCATCCTTGCTAGCTACAGTTGTAAGGCACTTGTGCTCCATCACGTTAAGTTTAATCATGAAGGTTCTATTTTGATACATAGGAGCCTTTAAGATTAACCTTCCTCCTGTGTCAAGAACCCTCATCATCTTGTCTCTGATCGACACTTAGTCATTCTTATCGACCAACTGCCCTATGCTGAGCAAATTACTTTTCATGCCTGGTATGTATAATACATTGGAAATTATAGACCTTTTGTCATACTTTCTCATTATCAAAACATTACATGTGTGAAGAGCATCCTAAATCCAAGTACCATTGGTCCTGAAATCTTTCTTCATATCTTGTTGTGATCATCAATAGCATCTCTTACTCTACATGCTTTGTAAACTTTGCATCATTTTCTTGGTTCTTTTATATTTTAAAACAATCACTAGAGTAGTGACCATACTTTCTGACAATTGAAACACTGAATGTGACTTTTGTTAGGTTTTCAACCATCGCCTCTTCCTCTACCTGCTGCATCACCTCTTTAGTTGGTTTGGTATGAAGACTTTCTCTGATTTGATCAGTCTCCTTCTTGCTGACTTCGACCAGTCGAATTGTTATATCATTTTTTACCTTTGTTGTCGAACCACTTCCCATTGCCTTTCTTTTCTCTTGTTAATTGTGCCTAAAAAGCCATATCACTTTTCGACTTGCTTGCAGCTCATTCAGTCATTCTTTGTTCATGAGATTCAAGCGTCCCTTTAAGCTCTTACTTTCTCAATGTTGACAAATCTTTCGACTCTTTTATGGTTACTATCACATGGTCGAACTTTGAAGCCAATGATTTCAAGATCTTTGCAACAACTGATTTTGATGTCAACATTTCTCTATATACCTTGATTTGATTAACCATTATTGTACTCTAGTGAAAAAATATGTTATACTTCCACTTTCAGTCATCTGAAACAATTCATACGTCTTTTTGTGAATTTGTACCTCGCCTCTTTTACCTTCTCAGGACCTTCCAACAATTTCTCCAATAAAGAATTTTTAGAGTGAAATAACCTCAACAAAAAAATTCCATATTTCATGATCTAATTTTCATATTCTCATAAAACTAATAATTAATTTTATAATCATTAAATTTTTTTACCCCCACTAAATATGTTTTCGGGATGGGATGAGATTTTCAACCAAAAGACCCACCCCATTAATAAATGGACGAGTTGACCTTTTTATCATCCAAATAAATGAGTTACTTTACCATATTACAATATTACTGAATTATGTTGACTAAGGTGGTTTGGGTTTAATTAGTGACTTGTAAGCACAATACGTTGTTGTGAATCATCATGAGCTATACATACAATTCCAATTCATATTGGAGCCTTGTACTAACAATAAGAAAAAAATTTGTACTAGAGGTTGTGCTGTCTTTTTTTGTTTTTTTGAAATGCAGATATTTTAGAACTGAATAAATTGGTCGGTTTTGGTTGATTTTAGATAGAATTTAAGTCTGATGTAAATTATAATTTTATTTTTATGATTTAATTTTGATCGATAAACTTTTTTTTTGTTTGATTTGGTAGATAAATTGGATTGATTTAATTGAAATAAACACGACTTATTTATTTATTTTTAAATTCACAAACATTAACTTTTTATTTTAAAGAAAAATATCAAAATTTTAGAATAGTTTAAAGATTTATTTTTTTATTATTGAAAAAATTATTATTATTACGTGATGATATTTTCAATATCATCTAAATTAACTTGATCATTATTCTACTTTAAATCATAAATTAAATAATTTTTAAAATTTTATATTACATGACTTATATTTTTTAAAATCCACAATTCCACTATTAAATTAGAAAAATATAATATTTTACCAATATTATGAATTTTATTTTTATAATAAATCAATCATATAGTAATACAAATAAATAAAATATATATTAATTAAGTTCGGCCAATTTTAATTTTTAAGAGATTTAAAATAATAATTTAAACTCGACTGAAACAACTCTATGTTATCTAAATTAAAGAATCGAATTAATTTGACATCCAATTTGACTCGATCTATTTATATATAAAAGAAAATACAACGTATATATAAAAGAAATTTGTCAACCCCAAAGTATTAGTAAACATTTTCTTTTCAACGGTGAGTCTCCTATTAAATTAAGATAAATTGCAGACAAGGTGCAGTGTATTTCCTCATTGTTAGTAAATATGAATATAGTAGAATCCAATTCCGTCAAAGCACACATTATAAAACACTAATAATTCTACTAAAGGAAAAGCCTCCACGGTGGGGACAAATTATTCGGTTGATGAAACTAGCCACCATTATTTGTGTTGTGATTTAGTGACCAACTACTTTACATAGTTATAATTATTAAGATTTTGTGATCTCACACACAAACAAAGGAGTCAAATTGGACTGCCATGCAACGCAATGGCACACGTCACCAATAACTATTATTAAGCTGAATTTTTATTTGCCCAACTCAAAAACTTGGGTAAGGTTATCCCTTAATATAAAATGCTTTGAAAAAAAATTACATTCCCTCTCTTTTAAATTATATTATAAGTTACTTTACTAAAAAAAATTATCCTAAATTATAAATTATTTTATATTTTTTACAGCATAGCAATCTACCGAACTCAAGTTTGAAGTTCGAACTCACTCATCTGCATTTAATGCTACACAACACAACTACCAATTGAGGGTAGGGACAGGCACCGCCAGCACTTTTAGTTTCACTATAAAATTAGAACATAGCATCTTCAACTTCATATTCAATTCCATCTTTCCTTTTTATTAAAGTTAACCAAAGTGGAACCAAATGGCTGGTGTTGTTGAATCTGATCCTATTCCTCTTCTTACTCCATACAAAATGGGCAAATTCAATCTCTCTCACAGGTACTTCTATCTTTATCTTTTCATTCAATCATTGCTTCTAATTTCAATCTCCTTCACTCACCATCTGTTTGTGCAATTCACTCAATTGATCGCAGAGTTGTTTTGGCACCACTTACAAGACAGAGATCATACAAAAACGTTCCTCAACCTCATGCTATCCTCTATTACTCTCAGAGAGCCATTGGTTCTAATGGAGGACTTCTCATAACTGAAGCTACCGGTGTCTCTGACACTGCTCAAGGGTAAATAATAACAATTCATTCTATCATTCTTCGTAATTATGCTTTCATTTTTGTTTCTTTTTATAGATAAATAAATTGTGTTGATTATGTTATTACGTGAAGGTATCCCGATACGCCTGGTATATGGACTAAAGAGCATGTTGAGGCTTGGAAACCTATTGTGGAGGCTGTTCATGCTAAAGGTGCTACCTTCTTTTGTCAAATTTGGCATGTTGGAAGAGTTTCTGATTCTGGTATGTACTATCTCCTCAAATTATCAATTACCTTATCCGGTTTTCTTTTTTTATATGACATAAAACATAAATGACAATTTATATTGATTTGATCCTATTGCTCTGAGTTACCTGCAGCTATCTTTTTTTTTTTTTGGACAAATATATGCATCATAATGCAATTGTGAAAAGAATTGATGCAGAAAGTTAGGAACATAAATAGTGATCAAATTGTATATATTGAGCAGCTCAAGCTAAACTATTGGTTAATAACATGCCATGTTGCCTTTTGCATCAATTTATGCTCATTTCCTTGTTATTCTCAACAGTTTATCAGCCAAATGGGCAAGCACCAATATCATCTACAGACAAGCCACTTACACCGCAAATCCGAAGTAATGGTATTGATGAAGTGAAATTCACACCACCAAGGCGGCTAAGGACGGATGAAATTCCAGGCATTGTCAATGACTTCAGACTTGCTGCAAGAAACGCTATTGAAGCCGGTAAATTCACTGATCTTTTTAAATCTCTCCAAAACTCATAAATGCTTTAATGTATCATAGCACAATTTTTTCAGACACCGAACAGGCTGTTGCTTTAGAGTGCATTAGGGCACTTTACAATTGTGTAACATACTCATTGGGATGCAAATTGCAGGATTTGATGGGGTTGAACTCCATGGTGCTCATGGCTACTTACTTGAACAATTCATGAAAGATAAAGTGAATGATAGAACAGATGAATATGGTGGATCCCTTGAGAACCGTTGTCGATTTGCTTTGGAAGTTGTTGAAGCTGTAGCAAATGAGATAGGAGCAGAAAGAGTGGGAATAAGATTATCACCTTTTGCAGATTATGCAGAAAGTGGAGACTCCAATCCCAAAGAATTAGGACTTTATATGGCTAATGCCCTCAATAAATATGGTATTCTATATTGTCACGTGGTGGAACCAAGAATGAAAACTGTTCATGAAATAATTGAATGCCCTCACACCCTTGTGCCAATGAGGAAAGCCTTCAAGGGCACTTTCTTGGTTGCAGGAGGTTACACTCGACCTGATGGGATTAAGGCCATAGCTGAAAACAGAGCAGACCTTGTTGTTTATGGTCGTTGGTTCTTAGCTAATCCAGATTTGCCAAAGAGATTTGCACTGGATGCTCCTCTCAACAAGTATAATAGGGAGACATTCTACATTTCTGATCCAGTTGTTGGTTATACCGACTACCCTTTCTTGAATGAAGAAACAAGTGCTGTAACATCCTAGTGTGGAACCTCCTCACTAAATAAGTTATTTAGGCCTTGCAAATTGGTTTCTGGAATTGAGTTAGTCAGTGAAATAAGAGCTTTCAAGCTTATAGATGTTATTGATTGCTCTCGTGCTTATGCTTTATACCCCATTGGCACATTTTCTAAATGGTCAGGGAACATAGTGTGTAAAATTTAAACTACTGTTGTTTGTGATAAGTCAATGAATTCCAACAAGATCTGATTACTTCAATCAATCCATTCCTTTTTAGATGTACTGAATCTGATAAGGTCTGACTGCTGGTTTAAATAATCAAAATTCTTTGCTGATTCGTGGTCAAAGTCAAACTAGTTTTGAACATTTGTAAAGGTCTTATATTTCACTGCCAAACCAAGTAAAGAATATATAGGCAAAATAGCAAGTCCAAAACTTGAGCTTTTATCATATAGGATGGCGTAAAGTTCATAGGAACACTGAAATTGCCTCCTCATTTCATTGAAGGAAACTCATTATATCCACCCTTTTTTCAATTTTTGTATCCCTAATGCATGAACTTGAAACGCTATCTGAAAAAGCTTTACTTTAAAAGCCTGTCCAAGTTTTAATTTTCAATAAAAATCAAGATTCCATCCTTTGCTCGAAAGAAAAGAAAAGGGATCACCAGAATTGAAATGGTAATGAGTAGCAATTTGTTATAATTCGGGCTTTTACTTTTTGGGCTAGTACTCTTTTATGATTACATTACTTCTCTTAGAAAATGAAAGAATTGAAATATTTTAAAAAAAAAAGTAAAGATAGAAGGACAATAGTAGGGATATGAGATAAAAAATTTCTTCTCTCACTCTTATTGGTGGAGAGCCACCTTGGTCAACCCAACATTCTACGAGACTTAAAATAAATTTTGAATTGAGACATTTTATATTTTAATAAAAAATTAAATTAAATTAAAATTAAATTATTATAATATTTATTTAAATTTTACTTTTTGAGCTTTTTGAGATGCAAAATTATTTATTAAACTATTATAATCAATTTCATTTAACATTTTCTTTTAATCGATAATAAAATCAATTCATTTAATTTTTGTTGAAACATTGTTGATTTTAAATAAGATTTTATTAATTTTAATTTTGAAAAAACTTTAGGCCTAAAGTAACAGTTACATGAATCATTAACATTATTTTAATTTGGGAATGTGTTTAATCTTATTATATAGTAAACATTGTTCACGTAGCTGCTGAAAATTTTTTATCGGGAGTATTAGATTGTAAGAGGTTTTTGTAGGCCTTAATTTCTTTGATAATAAATTATATATTTAGGGGCCTAAAACCCTAGCTTTAGTGGCTAGGCCCAATGGCCAGCCCTAGAGCCAACATATGTAAACTTAAAATTTCCTTTTATAATTCTATCTATAATACACAATACAAATACAATCAAATACTATTGGTATATCGGACCCCATATTCATTCTCTATCTCTTATAATGCAATGTCACTGTGTCGTTCATACCTCAGATAGAATGATATCTATAGTGGCCATCACATAATATTCTTCCGACAAATCTCATGTTTCTATACTCGCTCATGTAATGGCCTATGTACGACAACATGCAGGTAAAACGTCAATGACATGATTTGTCATAGTCTGCTCCTTCTCTAATATCTCCTAATGAATTGGCCAAAGTGGTTTTCCATGAGCATCTAATGTCATGTAAGAATGTGACACTCTGAAATACAATTAGATATAGCGTAATGCATTACTACAATGGCAAGGAGCTGTTACACTTCGTATTTCATTTGGTACTAGATAATTAAATAGGCCCTAGCTCAACCAAAATTGCTTGAAGTTATGTAACAAGAATATAATGTCCTTGTGTCCAATAATATATGGAGTCTCACCACCACCCCTTTCCCACGGGAAAGCCATAGGCTGTAAACGGGTATTCAAGCTAAAGGAAAACTCTAATGGTACCCATAACAAATATAAAGCAAGGCTTGTGGCTAAAGGCTTCATCCAGCAATATGGTTTTGATTTCCATGAAACCTTTTCACCTGTAGTTAAGCCAACCACAATCAAGATCATTTTCACCTTGGCTCTGACCTATAAGTGGGAAGTTTAACAGATAGATATAAACAATGCATTTCTCAATGGAGCTCTCCATGAAGAAGTTTAAATGCAGTAGCTATCAAGTTTTGAACATGAAAATAAAGCCCTTATCTGCAAATTGTACCGAGCTTTGTATGGCCTAAAGCAGGCGTCTAGGTTCTGGTATGAAAAGTTGCATCAAACATTGTTCCACTTTGGTTTTGTAGCTAGAAGATGTAATCACTCCTTGTTCACATACAATCACCAAGGCATTACACTTTATGTTCTTGATATGTAAATGGCATTCTCATTACAGGTTCCTCCTCTCTTCTTATTTACAAGTTGATTACTCAACTTCATGATCAATTTTCTCTCAAGAAACTTGGGGAACCCGAGTGTTTTCTTGGCCTGGAAGTAAAGTATCAATCAAATAGTTCTCTTATACTGACTCAAACCAAATGCATAAGAGATTTATTAACTACAGGCAACATGGAAGAAGTAAATGAAGTTCTTTCTCCTATGTTGAGTCAGTGCAAACTTAGCAGGTTTGGAACTGATTTTATGGAAGATCTTCTCTGTACATATCTGTTGTAGGTGTTTTACAATACATCACTCTCACAAGATCAAACATTGTTTATTGTGTAAATAAGGCATGTGAGTTTATGGCAAATTCTCTGGACAGACATTGGAGTATGTCAAAAGGATACTTAGGTACTTAAGTGGCACCTCTACACTTGGCTTATTACTTTCTCCTGCAAATCCTAACCAAGTTCTCTCCCTAAAGGCATATAATGACTCTGACTAGGCAAATTATCTAGATGATAGAAGATTTACATCTGACACTTGTATATTCATTGACCTAAATATGATTTCTTAGAATATAGGGCCTTAGCACATACAACTTCTGAATTACATTGGTTAGAATCCTTGCTTATTGAACTAAGAATCAAGTATTTCTCTCATACTCTTCTCTGAGTCAACCTAAGTGTTTTTTTATGTCTCATAATCCAATACTACATGCTAGAATTAAGCATATTGAATTGGATATCCATTTTTTTAGAGAAAGATTTATGGCCAATAGACTCAAAATTTGACATGTCTCTGTCTCATCTCAACTAGCAGACGTTATGACAAAGCCTTTATCAAGTACAACTTTTCAAGACTTAAGGAACAACTTTTCAAGACGTTATAACATAAGTTTTGTCAAAATTCCAAAAATCAACAAATAATATGTGATTTTTACATTTTTACATTTGGGGGTGTTAGAAGAAAAGTAATTTATTTTGGGCCAACAAAACATTCTGATTGGACCATATTCTCGCAGTCTATGACCCATAAACAGTTGAAAACTCCATGATGGCCTTGTCCAACCTATTTAAGAGACTTTCAATGTGACTACAAAATTTCAATTTACGATGTGTAAATTGATTTTGGATGAAAAAACAGTGCAATACCGTAAGAAGAAGAAACATTTTTGAGGCTATGATTACACAATCAGCTACATGTTGTCCTTGCAACAACAAAATACCTAAACAAGTAAACTTCATCTAACTCTATAGCAATTGTGAAGTGAATTATTATGTTATTGAACTCTAGTACCTACCATTGTCATGTGACTCAACAGTGCCTTTATCATTTTTCACCCAAAACCAACAAATTCTTACTCTGTTTTGTAAGAGATTCACATGTTCAGGTAGCACACATAAATGAACAAAAGATATGGAGCCGGATCATAATTATACAATTATGGTGAATGATAACATGCATTCATTGTAATTTCTCTAGTAATATGTTACACCTTGTCCCAACCATATGAGAATTTTTTTCATGCCTTCATTTTAGACACTTATTCCTAAAATGCCATATATTTCAATAAATATACTAATATGTCACGGTTTCAAAAAAATTGTTTTTTTGGTACAAGGGTGCCGCCCATTCAATGGGTGGAACTGTCATATTTTTTAAAAGGCGGCACCCTTGTGCCAAAAAAACAATTTTTTTAAAACTATTGCATTTTGGTATATTTGTTGAAATATATGGCATTTTGAGAATAAATTTCTAAAATGATTTTATTTCCAAAATGATGGCAGAAATGAAAAAAATTCACCATATGAACCATGGTGTCTTAATTATGACAAACTTTTCATCTTGTGTAACATATAAATTAGTATAAAGAATTAATTACATTATCATAATGTGAATCAAATTCCATCTACACATAAATTAGTATAAAAATTTAATTAGATTACGATAATGTGAATTCAAATTCCATTGTAGACGCAAATATTAGTCTCTCAATTTTAAATTGCTTGCTAATAAAATCAATTTAACAATAAAATTATCAAATAAAATCAAATATATACTTTTTTTTTCTTTTCCCATATCATAATATCTTAAATGAAAAAAGAGATAATAAAATACATAGTTTCAAAGACAATCAAATTAATATAAATAATTTTTAAGTTTCTTTAATCATATATAATAAAATCATCTATCTTGTTTAATATAAATTCAATTGATATATATATATATATATATATATATATATATATATATATATATATATATATATATATATATATATATATATATATATATATATATATATATATATATATAAAATTTTGTATCAATTGAATTAACAAATATATAATTGAATATCCATTTATTTTGTTAAATCAATTTCTTTTTATTTAAAATAATTTAAAAATAAAAGACAAGAGGTAGATCGTTCCTTTAACCTTAAAGAAACATGAAGAGAAAAAAAAAGTGGTTATGGTAATACAGGTGAGATGTCTACATCAATGGTATACGCTCTTGTAGAAATTGGTTGTATGTATGTGTTCCTCTTTAATGCAAAAGATAGTGATGGGTGGATGAGGAGAGTTTTGTCATATTTTGAAAATTGAAAGAAAAAAAAGTACACAAAACCC